GCGAAAATCATCAATTTTCGTGTTTTTTTTGCGTTTTTTTGCAAATATATCGCGACCTTCAGGGCTAGATGAAATATGTTTAGCTGAAAATGCTCTTCGTGCAATTTCATACGAGGTAGGTAACTGAAGAGTTGGCGTAAAGTCACCTTTCACCTTCAACTTTCATGTGTGAGGAAATATTCATTGTAAAACAAAGTATTTCTATGTACCATTTATTCACGTAAAACAGTATTTTCATATTAAAATATTCACACATTCATTTATAGTGGTAGTGGGTCGTCTGAATTACCGACTCGTAGTTCTCCTCGTCTTCCGCTTTACCTGCATTGGTATCCTGAAAAAAAATTTATGATTAAGTAAGTATACGAATATAATATTCTCTCGTGTGTCCTAAGTGTCCGGTGGAGAAGGTTTACCTAATTTTCTGAAACTTCAAACTGCAAGCTGTCATGGAACCACGTTCACAGCCACATGAAATAAGTTTGAGGAGACTTTCCGGTGCTGGATCCGAAGTCGTTGTGATAGGTGTCAGGAAAGTCTCCTCAAACTTATTTCATGTGGCTGTGAACGTGTTTGCATGACTGCTTGCAGTTTCAGAAAATTAGGTAAACCTTCTCCACCGGGCACTTGGGAGTTAGGACACACGAGAGAATATTATATTCGTATACTTAATTATAAATTTTTTTTGACATAATGCTGCTTGTTGTAGGTCTGAAGTGTAACGAACTCTGCGTCCAGTGTAATGGAACATCGTGCCTAAATGCCACGTCGTCTCTTCAGGGTACCAATGCAGGTAAAGCGGAAGACGAGGAGAATACTACGAGTCGGTAACGGTAATTCAGACGACCCACTATCACTAGAGGACGCCGAAGAGACTGAAGAAGTGGAATCCGAAGAAGAGAATGATTACGTTGGGATATAAATGAATGTGTGAATATTTTGATATGAAAATACTGTTTTACGTGAATAAATGGTACATAGAAATACTTTGTTTTACAATGAATATTTCCTCACACATGAAAGTTGAAGGTGAAAGGTGACTTTACGCCAACTCTTCAGTTATCTACCTCGTATGAAATTGCACGAAGAGCATTTTCAGCTAAACATATTTCATCTAGCCCTGAAGGTCGCGATATATTTGCAAAAAAACGCAAAAAAACACGAAAATTGATGATTTTCGCCTGCTTTTATGAATTTCCTAGGCTAAGAGGTACACCTAGGCTAACTTCTGAGTATCTACCTTGTATGAAATTTCACGAGAAATATTTTCAGCTAAAAATATTTCATATAGACCTCATAGATCGCGAGATATCAGCCAAAAAGGGCGAAAACACGGTTTTTGGGGGGTGGTGGGGTGGCTGGAGCCTTTAGCACAGGGTCTGGGGGGGGGGGATTTTTAATATGTTGTTTCTGACACCTAACTGAACATATTCCACCATTTTTTTCTTTTCCACCTCAAAATGTTCAGTTTGCCTATTTTACATTCTCTATCGCCTAGACCTCGGCCTAGACTATAAATCTCAAAGGATTGAATTAGAAGCCAACAATAGTTATTTACATAATAAGTCATGAAAGTGGTCGTTTACATGACGCGGAGGCTTATTGAAAAGTACGAGGACGCGTAGCGTCCGAGTATCTCTTTAATGCCTCCAAGTCAGGTAGACTCACTTTCATGACATATTATGTATAAAATTTTACCTGAAACCGCAACATGTAGAAAATTTTTCCAAATTAAATTATTCATGTGTGAAATTTTGATACCTAATCACGCATGCTAAAATCACTTTATTTAATTGTTTCCATAGAGATTTCAAAATAATTAAAACAGTCAGTGTCATTTTTAACGCAGTTTTCAGTTTATACTTTGTACTTTTCAACTATACAGTCTTTATAACTAGGTACAAAAGCAGGTATCAGTGAAGAAGAGTACCTATGCAAGACGTTGTTATAATGTAGCCGAAGCTGCGGCCGCTGTAGTGAAATATTCGCTCCCCACAAAGTCAAAAAAAAAGGTACGAAAAGGCGTAGAAACCTTTTAATGACTGGCGCAAAACTAAAGGAATAATTACTTCCACACATATTCCATTAATTGTTCGTAATAAAAAACCATTATCCTTTGTGTAGGTATATTAATATTTAAAATATCCACATAGTCTGCATTATAATTATCCAATCGTTGATTGAATAACTTATTCAACGAATGATCTAATTGTTATTTTGCATGTACTAGGACTGTAATGGGAGTCAGGCAAAAATATTACAGTACTAGTCAGGTAAAGATCAACTTTCTAATGTCAAAATAGCCCTGAAATTTACATTTTCTTGACGGTTTCAGGTAAAGAAAATTCTTACAGATATTTTTTCACAATAACATAAAACGTAACCTGTGGCCAGGCCGGGGTGGGGCAGCTGCCCCCCCCCCTGCCCCTTCCTGCGTACGCCCATGCCTATCGGCATCAGGAGCTGGCTGCGGACTTCAAATTCCAACACTTAGGGCCGATTCTACAATGCAGGTATATACCGAGAATAAGCTATACCTAGAATAATTGTCGACGGTTGCGTTGGTTACAATGGTGTCAACCAATGAGATACATGTTGCTATGGCAGTTATTCCAAGGATATCTTATTATGCGTAAAAGTGTAATTGTAAAACCGGCCCTTAGAATTGAGAGCCTAGAGATGACGAACGGCACTAGCAAGAATTTTCAGACACTTATCAAAATAATGTGTTTTTTATTGTCTGCTGTACTCTGTGGGAGTTCAGCTCGTGCCATTATAGATTTTGCGAAAAAGCCCTTGACTTTCGGGGGGTGCTATGTTAACGCTAACACCACCATTGCCTCCGATCATTTCCAAAAGCAAGCGCTGTGTTCATCGGATCTAGCGCCAGCTAGCGCCACTAATTTTATAGCTGGCACCCAATCCCCACCATTCGTGTACAATTTTGCTATTTTGTGTTTTGCTGACATATCTCCCAGAGTCCAAATCTTAAGAGTTGGCGCCACACCCAAGTAGTCTGGGACAGTTTTTCCTAGCTTTATGACTTGGCGTCACTGAAATATTTTGGATTAATTTTCGAGTAAAACGAATGGTGCAAGTAACTGAATCTGCGGCAAGTATAAAAATAAGGAAATACAGCTCAATTATAGAACAGAACCATATTCTTATACATTTCGCAGTAGAGACATTGGGACCTTGGTGTAGAGAAGCTCGAAAATTTTGTGGAATACCCGGGAAAACGCATTACCAATATTACTGGGGAACCCCGAGCTACCATTTACGACAAATTTAAGTATTGCCATACAACGTGCAGGTAATGCGGCCAGTCAGTGTAATGGGGGGGACTACGGTCCCCATGGAAGGGATTTATCATTTATGAATTTTTAATATTAAAATTTCCATATTACGGTTTCCTGTGAAATTTTTAGCGTAACACAACGAAGTTGAGGTAAAGCCTATGTGCTCGTGTTTCCGTCTGTCCGTCCGTCCGTCCGTCCGTCCGTTCCATCGAGACCTCGGCCCCTGGGCCACCTAGAGACTTCAGGTTTTCGCTAATTGATAGCTGTTATGGTCTATATTTGCCCATTTCGATCAGTTTCATTGAACTCCACATTTTGCGCAGACTGCGCAATGCCAACTTTCATATTTATGGAGATATTTCTTTGAAATTTTAACCACAGATGCTTCTAGTAAAGGCAAACATTTCGCGCATAGTAAAAATTATGTGTGGGCATGCGCAGTGATGTGTGGGCATTCTGCGCAACGCCAAATTTCTTATTTATAGAGATATTGCTTTGAAATTTTAACCACCAGCGCTACTAGCAAAGGTAAACATTTCGCACATAGTAAAAATTATGTGGGCATGCGCAGTGACTGCACAGACTGCTCATAGCCAACTTTCTTATGTATGGTAATATTTCTTTGAAACTTTATTTTACTTATTTAACTCCTCTCTTTCTCTGGACGTGGACGTGCTTCAATATGCAGATTCGACATTTTGTGTGCTTTCGATGACGATGCATCGTTTCAATACTTTGTGTTACGCGGCAATACCCACGAGTGGGTTTTGGAACATTTTTTCTTTTTGTGCTCTACTCACTAAACAATTCTTTTTGTAAGTCACAGTATTTATTTCACTACCACAATATTGCGAGGTAAATCGTTTAGAACACAGCGCAGTGCAAAATTTGAAAATTTCAACGAACGTACCTACTCATATCCTATATAAAGTCGTTAAATCAATCAGCATATTTGTTACCTAATTCTGCTAAAAAACAAAGAAGCAGTTCTTATATACTTATGTGTAATTTCCATAGCTAACTAATTTTTATGGTGCAAATAATATCCATAAGGCATATGTATTTTATATGATTAATACACTCCATTAATATACGACCAATCAGCTTGGTGATTGTTTCAAATTCTAACCAATCAGTTGATTTTTTATCTGATTAACCGTTAGGTAGCTTTTTAACAGCGATAAAAATGCGTGTAGGAATGCGTAAAATATGTAGTGGTTGTAAAATTTACTGTCTTTTATTAAACTCTCTAAAATACACTCGACCTTGGTTTTAAGTCAGGATAATTTAATTTTTAATTCACTCAAATTTGGTGGCCTCCTGGAAAAAACTCTCGATCAAAAGCATAATATTAATAAAATAGCACCAGTTAAAACTGTCGCGATTTTATCACACTTTTTGTCTCGAGTTTTTTCCGTTGCACCTTGATGCTCAGGCAATAATACTGTACTTCTCTACCTTGATATATAATGTACTATTCCTACCTTCAGAATATAGAACTTACCTGCTCTTCCTATATTCTCTCGTAACCATGCGGTGCTCATTTGCCGGTAACTAACGAAGAATCCAAAATAAAATTCAGATAGTTGGTTCGACGAAATAAAACAGAAGAAGGAATAGGTAATAAAAAGTTTAATAGAATCTTCCGATGCACATTATTTCTCTAGACATTTGCAACATTTGAATTGCTGATTACATAAATAATACTGATTCATTTATTTAACACCTATACATCGTAACATTGAAATTCTAAATTTTTAAAAGTAACTACATTTTTCAGTCACACATCATAGTTTATAATATTTAATTTGCAGAATGATAGAAACGACGAATTTATTTCTTTCGGCCCAAAAATCGAATGTTCGTGAAAACTGCGGTCGCCGCTCTTCTGCGATTACAAAAATTGACCGTGCGACTATTGCCTTGTCGTGCGTCGTGGAGCGCCACAAGTAAACGGAAGACGTCGTCTTTGCTTGGTTGACACATGTAGCGGTTTTCGGCGTCGTATCTGCAAAACATTAACATTAGGATATCAGAAATGCGTTCGCAGAAGAAAATTTCCCAAAGAAAAATTTTGTCTGTATACAGTTATTGTACTCGGAAAAGTAAGAGGATGAAATCGTAGGCGGTCGATCGATTGTTATTGTTTTTCTGTACGTTGTCTCTCAAATTGAATACAAAGTTTGTTTGTTTTGAATCTATGTACTTCCCCGAATTTTCCATCTAGCGAGACGACCACGAAAAATTATAACCGAAGTTTTGGAAAACCAACTTACGCTTCTCTAGAATTTTGCCGTTTCCACGGATATTTGCGGTAATACCTCGATCTTTTAAATGGAACTTCCGTTAATTCCTTCTTCGGGTCCTTCTGAAGTTCGGGGAACTGATTATAATACGCGTCGCTTTCCGTGTCTTGTTCGCCGGTCGGATATTCCTCAACGTAAATTAATGGTACCCCTTGATCTGGATGCAAAAGGATGTCTACTAAGTGTTGTTTCAGTCGTTGCAGCTGCAGGTCTTCTAATAGATGCGATGTTTTATAAGCTTCGTAGGGATCTAGAACAGAAAGAATTAATTTAGATAAATTACCAAGTTGGCAGTAAATGCGACGTTAACGTGAGCCACAAAGGTAGGCTTTTATTGCCTGTAAGAAGTTCATCACAATAAAATGATAAGAACAGTTTGTGGACTAATCCGATTAAATGCTCCGAAGCGTATAAAATGTAAGTTTGTCGCGGTTTCAAAAAGAAAGGTCGCAAACAATAGCACAATGTGTTTTTGTGTACCATTTTTTTACTGTTACATTGATGGGTAGATTATTACGAATATCACTTTCCATAGTTAAGAAAGACTAGCTCGTCACATTAAATTGCTCTACAGTTCTCCGCAAGTAATTCTTAACCCTTTCCTATCGATTTCAAGTTCTCCTCTCCAGTTGCTCACAATTTCTTCAGAAGTTTTCTCTCTCTCAAATTTCCTTCATGTTTCTTTCGATCTCTATCTAAATTTCCTGGAAAGATCTCTTAAGCTATTAAACTTTTTCGAAGTTCCCTACAAATTCTTCTCACTTTCCTTAGCTGTTCATTTTTTAATACATTCTTTTTTTCCTGTAATTGTCATCTCAGGCTCCCATAAAAGTCATTCGTCTAGTCTCCTTCAAGTTGTTCTCAAGTTCTTTTAAAGTCTTTATCTCGAGTTCGCCTCAAATTCGCTTCCTGCTCTTCTAAAGCTTCTTTTAGATTTTTGAGTTTGGTTTAATTTTCGCTCGCTTCCTTCTCTTTAAATTATTCTCCAATTCTCTCCATCTACCCTTCAAGTTGCCTTCAAGTACCCGTCAAGTTTTCAAGTTCCTTCCAGTTCTACTCAAACCTCCACTAGTTTCTCTTTAAGCGTCTCTGAAGTCTTTTCTCAAGTTTCTATGAATATTTTCAGAGATTCTAAGAATATACTACCCTATGTAGATGTTTTTTTCTAATACAAGTAGATTGTGAGCAGTTTTCCTTTTCATTTTTCAACTGTTAAACAGTTAATACATCATGAAAATACTGCAACAATGAAACCCTTGTGGCTGTTGAAGCAACAGAAATTGAAATAAAAAACCAAGAAATTAAAAAAAAAGGTATGAGTTGATGGCAGTTGTGCTCTTAACTCGCATTAATTATATGAAAGTGTTATTGGTTTTGTTGTTGTATTTTTATTACAGTTTTTTCCCGTGAAAATAATATAAATTTTTGGCCATTTTTAAATTGATGATGAAAAAGATCTTTTCTGGTAAGGTTCCTTTTTTATTTATTCATTTTAACTATGTCCATTGTACACATTGTTTCAAATCAGCTTGATTTTGGATGTTTTTGTTTAGTAGCGTTTTCGATTTTTTTCATAGGTCAATTTTACAAATGGTTTGGTTTTACGGTCTTAAGGTGACATTTCATTGATTTTGGTTTAATTTTAGATAAATGTAATTAACACTTCAATCGAATTTATGGATGAATGATGGGACTGTGACGTCAACCCTTCGCTTCTCATTCTTATTTACTAAACTGTATTTTCCGTTAGCGTTTCCCTTTACAGTACCCCCTTCTTGTTTTGGAAATTTAGTAATTAATGTTGGAACAACAATTATTTTAAGGTTTTAAAAGCAACAACTACATTTATATCTTTTGAGATTCACCGCATTGTGAACACTGATCTAGTACCAGGTATTTACTCAAAAGCTCCTACAATCAGAGACGTTGGAGTGAGGATGCCGCCGGGTCCAAGATACAAGACAATAGGCGAGTGAAACAGAGGCCCTTGTTATAGAACGTGGCGTATGATCTAGTGGCCTGATCTTAATCTCCATGAATAGAGGTTTCTCGGCCTGTACAGTGGAGGTCAATGGTATTGATGTACTTATACAGAGGTTGCGGTGACGTACCTACGATTAGGCAACACACTTTACATCAGAATGAATTGCACTATGGGAAAAATACGAACCGTTCTATACAACAATTGACTTCGACCATTCTGCGCAATGCCGAGAAACAGGGATATTCGCGACGAAGCTTGTCAGGAAGCCAGCTAGCGTACCGGATTTTCTCAATGTTTATTTTGTTAGTTTTTTGTTTCGCTTGTTGTATTTACAGGTAGTAATCATTTAATTTTTTCTCGCAATAAAAATTAATATTTAAACTTCATGTCACAGTTTGTTATTATTTACATTTTGTATTAGTGATGAAGTTAGTGAAGAATAGCGTACTCCAAGCATTTGTTTTGTGTACCGTTACTGAATCATGATTGTTTGTTGTACTGTACAGGTAGTTATGCTTTTACATTATTTAATTAACTATTCATTTATGTATTCACGTGGGAGTATATTATAAGTGTGTAGTTGCATTGTATGTTTGATTAATCGTTTATTCCGTAGAGGGAGTACCCCATAAAATTCTGAACTTCTCGTGCCCACTACCGGACGGTGCGTAAGCAATACCAGAAAGGGAGGTCCTCTAATTAACTCCTCTTCTGTTCTATGTGACTCTGTTTGTGACTTTAACAAGAATACTGCTGGCATTTCGACGTATACGTTTCGTGTTCAATTAATGTGGCTGATGCTGGATTAGAGCTATGTTACTTTTGAAGTTGTTTTTATGTATGTAGGCACTATTTATTATTTTACTAAATTACTTTTGTCTAAATGGATCGTAGATGTGTTTTTGTACTAATTTGGTTTATATTGTTTTTCATGTGCTTTAGGATCTCAGTTGTGTTTTTATTAATATCTGATTTTTAATGTAGGATTTGAGATGATTTCTCTTGTTTCTTGTATTTGTGTGTGTTATGCTAGGTTTATGCCTGGCCCTTTTGTGTGCGTAATATATTTCATTTTTCTTGTCTTTTCTTACGCACAAAGCTCCGCGTTTTATTTATTTATTTGTTTATTTATTTATTTATTATTTTTTCCGTTGTTCTGGACTCTCAACAGGTTTGTGCCCAAATACAGTGACCCGCATAATGCTTTTTGAGGTACCTCTGCAGAAGGTCTTAAGTTATTCTATACTACTCCGGTATTTACCTTACGAATTAGGAAAATTGCAGGAAAACCTAATTTGGAGCAGCCGGCAGAATGCATCAGTCCAGGTTCGAACACCCGCCCTCCGGCTTTATAACCTAACGCTCTACCATTGAACCACAAAGTCGGTCAATTCCCATTCCAACTGTGCCTCACCTCCTAATACATAAAAACCGCCACAGTATTATACACAACGTAGGAACCTATTCGTACCATCTTGTCCGAGCCGAGATTTGAAAGTGCCGCCAAACAACCGACATTTCGACTTAAAAGCTAGATGGCTCTGCTTGTTATTTTTCTCCGGAGTTGCCTACTGTAAGTATAGCGTAAGTCAAGATTACAGCACCGAATGGGGAGAGATTCTGGATCGGACTTGGTGAGTCATGGCACTTTTAGTGGCATCGGCGTATAGGACAATCGGCAATTTGAACTTTTCATTATTAGCTAGAAGCAGCGTGGAAGGCTTCGGTAAGGAGCGGAACGCAAGGGCTTTCTGGACTATGTGGATCAAGAAGGAACATGGCGAGGTGAACTACCACTACTATATTGTGTTCCCTTTCGAAAACAGATCAAAAGTCGTGAGGTCAAATTCAGTGTATAACTGCAGTTAACCATCTCCATGTATTAATAGGTACCTTCTGTACGCGGACTATCGATTTAGTTAAAATTTTGCGTAGCCATCCTTGTGGTGTGGCAGTATCGTGGCAGTTATGTGTTGAGTCATGCTTTTAGACATAAACCTGACATTTGATAAACTTTATTTTACTAATTAGCCATATTCCTCCATAGAAAGAGATTGCCGCTTAAGAGCCGAGATAATTAATTAAGTGCCAAACAGACTTAACGAGTTGTGTTCTTCAGTTCTCCTCTCCAGAATTTATAATCAAAGGTATTTGATACTAATTATTCTTCGCTTCCCAGAACGCCAATATTTAATTAAAAAAATAATTAAAAGACTCCTCTCAAAAGCAACGCACGGGATCGATAACAAGCCACTTCAATTAACGTACAGTTTTATAATATGACTTTGCGGCTCCAAGTTGCCAAAATTTTATAATATTTACAAACCCGAACAAAAGGACGCTTCGTTACCGCTTTCCGATTAAGATTAGTGTAACTTAATCACCTTTCTCACAAGAGCACAGATTTTGTAGCAATTTTATCCGAAAACTAATAGCAACTTCATAACATTCAAAAATATTAGATAAACAGAAATAGGAAACGTAACCCTTTTGTGCGCTATGTTAGATTCACCGTACTTATGGTGTATACAAATAACAAAAATGATAAAAGATTTACCGTAAAAGCATTTAATACCTGGCTTTCGATATGGACATTGAATAATATTATTATTCAATGATATGGACATACAACTGAATATTGTAGCGATTCTTCTAGAACATTCTCGAGACGCCATCAAATTGATAGTATGATCTTCCTCCCTAAAAATTCTCGCTCTTTTTACTATTGGTAATCGGAATCATGTTGTCTATTAACTTCCTTATCTTCCCTTTGTTTTTCTCCTTATCGATTTAATACAGCTATCCATAACAAATAAACTCTACAAATAAAAAATTGTGCGGAAAGAAAGATATATCGGCAACTTTATCATCTTATACAGTGTCTTATAAAATTAAAAAAGTAGGAATTCGAAACGTTGAGATTCGGTTATTAATGCATGAGGTAACGCGAAACTGAACACGTTTTTCCCAATAAAAACAGGTATAAATATATACTTCCAAGCGCGATAATTGGGAACCTTACCATGATTGGAATCAGATTGGAAATATGAGAAGCTAAACAAGAGGGTATTTGATGATTCTATTAAAAGCAAAAATCGAAGCAATAGTATATTCAATTTGCCAATCATAATCAGAACGGAAGAACGCACTTCGGTTACATAAGGAAGGCGTTTCCAATTTTCCTCGCATTTTCATTGTTTCTGATTTAAAGCTTAACGAATGAAATTGAAAAATTAATTTTGATCAAAACAGACAATACGTGCAAAGGTTGTGAATATAGCAAGAGCAGTAGATTTACAGCAAATAAACACTGTGTTCAAGCCCTAATCCAGAGGTTCTCAAACTTTTTTGAACGTGACCCTAATTTAAGTTGCAAAAGCCTTCGCGACCCTAAAAAATTTTTCGCACTCTGGGAGAGGCGGCTATGCCAGGCATATGCCAAAGTATCAAGTATCCAGTATCAATGTACAGACAAAATAGCCTATTTCTATTAGATATATAAACAAATGGGCAGCAAAAATGCATCAATTCAAATTTAAGTAATTTATT